ACATTGGACTAGAATACCGAAGACGTGGGTTCGAATCCTGCCAAGGGCATTTGATATTTTTCTCTTATTCTCTCTATAACAGTTTCAGTTATTCTTAAACTTAACTAAACCTTTGATGGAATTCGAAAAAATTCGAAATATTCATGCACCAAACATTAACGTTATTAGCTATAAGTAGTTTACAGCATTCACGTCCGTGTTGTGTTAGATTTACATGGTGATTAACAAGTGATTGTAGAGGTGATTACGGTAAATATGTATGGTAATAGCTTATCATAAGTGCGCATGCAAGGGTTYACTAATTCAGTTTCAACACAGCTATTCTTGTTAGATGCGTACCGTGCACGGACTTTGTACGGACTTTCTCACAGTATTCAGAAGCGGAGGCTAGAGTAGTCAGCGAAGAGTAATTCCTGCCCAAACTGAGTTACTGCGTACAGAGCCAAGCATTAAGTTTTACTATTATAAAGATCATGACTGCCTCCAAGTATGAAAAAGGTTTTACAATAGTTGCTCTAGTTGAGGATTGCGCATTGGTTACTTCAGTAAACTTGTAATTTTCTCCATTTTCTTCTTCTTCATAAGGTGGGCAGTCAATAAGAGCCTTTGTATTTACACCATCTTCGTCAGGTTCTGTACTTTTTGTATTATTAGTCATACTTGAGTTGAAAGCAACAGTAGACGTATTGTTTGTTGTTAGATTACTACTGATGTTGCTGGTTCTGATGACTGATGAACTTGATACTTCGCTGRAAGACACCTGCATAGAAGAGATAATCAGAACACTTGACTTAAGCAATTGTTCTATTCTTAAAATGCTTTTACCAAGGGTATTTTTTGTGGTATGTTGTGTTTCAGGTACTGCAGCATTACTCGTTGTCTGTTGTTGCAGTAAACTACTAGATGTCATATTTACTTCTACGAGGTAAAAGTCTTGAACCTCTTGTATTTTACTGTCCGTGGTTTCTGACCGTTTTGTTGTCGTCACAGCATTCRAATGCTTTACATCATCTGCAGATACGTGTTCGAATTCATAATGTTGRGTTAGTGTGCCAGAAATAAATCTTTTAAGCGCGTTGGTACTCCGATCCGATTCTTTTCCATCTAACAGAACTTTATAAGTCACTCGAATGGTGTCAATTGGGGCAAGTGTTGTTCTGAGGTTAATTTTGGTTAATGTTGTAGTAAAAGTCGTAGTTGACACGACTGACACCGCCTTGGTACTCAAACCTAAAGTTACGCTCCGCAGCAAAGAAAGCTGCGGATCGTTCGTTTCTGTTAACGTTTTCAATGTTTTGTTGGAGTCAATAGACTGTGTGTCACAAGTCCACAAAGGAGTCTCCACAAGTATAGGCGTTTTTTCGAAGTTTGAATTCTTAGATAAAACGAATGGGTTTGATTCAGTATTCATAGAAGTGTCCGCTACAGAACTCGAGGAGCTGTAACTTTCTATTGATGTTGTTAGTATAGCACTTGTCAAGAACTGCTGGACGTCCTTACTCAAAATAGGAGAGTGCAATGGTACGTTGCTTAACGTTACTTTTTTATGTTCGTCAGTATTTACTTGAACGTGAGCGTCCATTACGGTACTAGTAGGACTGGTGTAACTTTCTATTGATATTGTCATTGTAGAAGTCGTACTGAAGGGTCGTTGCCATTCAGAAGTCAAAACAGGAGTGTCCAGGAGAACGGGCGTTGACTTAGGCTTGTTAATGTCGAAAGTTAATACCCTTAATGTCATAGTCATGACACTTGGTTTTGAGTCCAAATTTATAAGAGAGCTCGTCGTTACAATAAGATCTTTCTGAATCATATCTGAGGAACGAGACATTTCAGATGTTGAAATTTTATGTGAAGATAAAGTAGTTGCTTTTCCTTTCTGATCGTCTTCTGTTAATTGACCATTAGCGTTCAAACTACCCGCCATAGACATAACGCCCAACGCTGAGATACTACTAGTTTGCGGTAATACAGACGATGTTTGTTGCATTTCAAGGTAGTTTGTCAATTTTGTTACTGTCGGTGCTACTTTGACATGTTTTTGCGGTCTGCTTTGACTTTTGTGTTCAAATTTGTTTCCCTTAACTTCCGTGTGATGTTGGTCTGGCGTTTGAAGAACGAAACTTCTAGATCGCTCCTGTTTTTCKTTGTCTGTTTTCCTTTGGTCAAGGAGAATTGAGGAAGCTGTTGTKTCAGTGGTAGTGATGTCTGCGTGCGAGTAGGCGATGTCATTCCTTGTCTGCAAATGAATAAATTGCGCAGGCGTTACGGAAGATTGTTTTTTTGTCGGATGACAAAAAACAGTACGAAAAAAAGTATTAAATAGCACGGTCCATGCCGATATTCTCGATCTTTTTTGCGATTAAACATTTTCTTACGAAAAAAAGTGCAGATTGTGCTTGAAAACTTGCCTGCTAACAAAATATTAACTTGTCAAAATGTCAAAACTTAAGGTTGTTGGTCCTTTAGACTTTTTTCAGTTTTCGCATACAGTGAATCGCCTAATTAATTTCTTAACATAACTGCTGGAGAAAACACTTTTAAAAGTCCAAAGGATGCCTGGTAACGGGATGCATAGTATTGTGGGACTTATTTTTTGGACACGATGTGATGATGATCTCTTCACTGATACAATCGGCTATTAAAGCAACACTTGGTCGTTTATATTTTTTCCATTAAACTTTCGAAAGCAGTGAGAATTGTACAAAAACGTCTGTGCAGACCTTTTTCTATTGGTTTGTTGTTGACTTATGATATGCGCCAGCGGGCGGGGTATTGTACATACTAGTGTTCGTCTTACCTGATTTCCTTTGATATACCACTGATTATCCACTGCTTTGGTTTGGGCAGATGTGCCTTTGGTAGTTGTTGGTGTAAACAAGCTAGGTGTTGTAACGTGACTTCTTTCTATGTCATGTGATGCTGGGCTTTTCTTAAGAAATTCCAGCATATTATCCATAGTGCCGTTGTTTGGGAGTGGCTTTACACCAACTAAGTAACATAACAATGCATATACATCTATAGCTCTTTTACTGCTGTTTGATGTATACCCTTCTTTAAAGGCAGGGCCTCGTGCATAGAATATTCCCGCTGAGTTTTCTGTCGGGGGCCAACCATGAGTACCCTCTATCCATTTCCCCTCAGCTAAAGGATTCCAATCCTGTCGTATCAACCAACCTTCTTCCGCCACCAAATAGATAGGAGGAATGCGACGATTGTTTTTCCAGTGAAACTCGTCTGGGATTTCTTCTTTTTTGTACACTTTAAGATGCGGATTTTCAGCGCTATTTAACTTTGCATATATTTCGTTTAATTTACCTGGCTTTGGCCAGATATGCTCTMTAGCTGCAATGTTCTTGAAGTAGCTGTCAGGATTAATATAATCGTGTATTCGAATTTGATGTGTGTACTTTGTTTCAATTATTCCATGATCAGATAAGAGAATGACATTGGTTTTGTCCATCAATTGGAGTGTCATTAATCGTTCAACCAGATAGCCCAACACTTCTCTGTCCATGGCTTCGATATTATTCACATATGTTGCGGAATTTGGCCCATTCTTGTGTCCTGCCATGTCTGGTTGTTCAAAATACAACATAACCAACTGTGGCGGGTTTTCCGAGACGAGCCATTCCAAAACAGTGTCTATTCTCTTCTGAAAAGGTTTTGCCCAGTTAAAAAAGCAGTGGACTTTTAAATAGAGCCTCAAATACTCCAACTTGGGTCCTTTGAAGTCTTCACATTTTAAGTAACAAAACGGCTCAGCGTAGAAGGCGGGTTTTTCCGAGTAACTCGTGCTTCCAGGCCAATAATAGGCACCTGTTCGTCTGCCTTGTTTTTGCATCGTCAACCAAATAGGCTCCGACTCGTTGTAGAATTTAGCATCGAAGTTTGAGCAATCGTGTTCCAGAATAAATTTTTCCATATACAAGGGATCCCAGAATTTGTTATCCACGATGCCATGACTTTCGGGGTAGAGTCCTGTCATGAAAGTAGTATGCACGGGGAATGTTTTCACGGGGTGAACGCCGAACAGATTCTTGGCCTTCACTCCACCACTGGCAAACAAGTCAAAGTTAGGCGTGTTTGCACGGTTGCTTCCAACAAATTCCCAGCCGAGTCCATCGAATGATACCAATATAACAGACTGATTCAATCCGTTTGTCAGTGCTATAAATGTCTGTGCAAATAACAATGTGAAAATTGTAGAAGCGGAGAGAAAAGATACGGATCTGAAACCTCCCATGGCGCTTAGAAATGAAATGCACGGCAAAGATTACATTGTAATTAAACCCGTCGATATTTATATTAAATCTGGTTGGCCAGCCTCTTCTGTTCACTTCAACCGCAAATAACTGGGGTGGATTACGAACAAACCAGATGAGTACGAATGTGAGCAAAACATCCCGTGACTATTAGACAGCCAACGAGCACTCGCGATAATGAGACCCTGTTGTCGAAAAACGAAAAAAACATTGGTGGAAATCATCTAAATTCAACCACAAACGAAGTCTTGTATCTCGACATTAACGATTAGTCAATAAGGATTATTGAGTCATCTGGATAGGGCATAACATATCAACATAACCCGTGTGACTTCATAAATACTTGATCAGTATTGGGAAACCCACCAGGAGTATTTCCATGCCAGCAGAAATCGATTATAGTTATTAATTTAACACGAATATGTTAAAAAAGCTCATGTATTTTGAACAATCAAATTTCAAAATATTGTTCCAGCAAATGATTCGTATTGTTAAACAGTTTTTTGTCTTCAGGGCATTGTCCTGCGTGAGAGCGGTGCGGTTTTTTTCAAATCAAACACAAATCAACACAGCAAACGAATTTGTTTGAAATATCCCATTAAGAAGTGGAATCAATTATTCAACAAAGCAATGAAACATTTTATTTTGTGCATAACAGTGCCTTTGTAATTATCAACTGGAGGTATTTACTTTTGGCAATTACAATCATGACAGGGGGTATTCCCAAATCTAGCTACCTGCCTGGCCATTAAAATAACAAACTAAAAGTATACATTGACAAAGCTCACCGGATTTTTACTTTAATTCAGCTTGAACTTTGCTATCTGGATGTTTAAAGTGTTGAGAATATACAACACTGGGTGTTTTATACAGGTAGCGGCTTTCACGACTTCAGCCCGAATGTCAGATCGAATTCAGCCTGTTTGTCTTCAGTTCTCTTCATATTTTTATTCATTTTCATAGTCARAAAAGAGACCGGTTGGTTGGTTGGTTTGTTTGTTATATTAAAAAAAACACCAAAGTCCTTTTTTGACGATCCATTTCCAACTAAGAATTCCAATTTTTTCCTACAGGACTACAGGTATCCACTTAGCTTCCGTATTCAAATTCTTCTCTCATGCACGTAATACTATTCAATATGTTAGCTGTAAGATGATTTATCGTAGCATATTTGTTTTGCTTTTATAATTTGCCCGTTCGTTCTGTCCCTTATTTAAACTGAATTGTGTAAGCATTGCATCCATCACATGTAAAGAGAGTTTATTATRTCTCTAGCTCCGAGGGTTTTTCTATGAGTTCGGAGCCGGGTTTCCTTTCTCCGCAAAGGCCAACAAACTACTTGTAAACTCCAATTCGTTCTATGAATTAGCCGTGCCCTTACTAATAGATCAGCCCAGAGGTTGTTTCAGGGTTCGTTCTATGAGTTAGCCGTGCCCTGACTTAGATCAGCCCAAAGGTTGTTTCAGGGTTCGTTCTATGAGTTGTCCGTGCCCTGACTTAGATCAGCCCAGAGGTCGTTTCAGGGTTCAATCTGTGAGTTAGCCATGCCCTGACTTAGATCAGCCCAGAGGTCGTTTCAGGGTTCGATCTGTGAGTTAGCCATGCCCTGACTTAGATCAGCCCAGAGGTCGTTTCAGGGTTCGATCTGTGAGTTGGCCATGCCCTGACTTAGATCAGCCCAGAGGTCGTTTCA